TTTTTTTTTTTCATGTGTTTCCACGCATCTTGATTTAGTAACTGAAATGATGCCAGTTGGAAAAGACAGAAAGGTCAAATGACCATGGTGTTTATCCCACTAAATGGAATTTCAGACAGAAACTGTGAGCCGAAGCTCAAAGAGGTTAAAAGGTGAATAAATACCAACTGGAACCCCTCTAGATTAAGACGTAAAATATGGCTTATCCTCGATCGCTATCTGTCGATGTGCCACCCGTGCCAAAATGTACATCCTTTGATATATTTAACTTCAAACAAAATAACACCCAGAAAATTCTAGATGTGTACAGACTGACTTTGTCTACGATGTACTCAATACGGAATTGCGGGCTGCCAATTCATTTAATCAAACACGAAACAAAACAATTGTCAAATTTGTTCTGACAACCGCTGGGAAACCAGATTAATTAATTTCATACTGTGACATGTTTCATATTTGCGTAGATTTCACAAAGGAAACATTCCTTTTGATGATTTCCGGACAGAAATGCTGTGAAGGTTGTGAAATTTTAGCTTTCGCAGCCTATATGAGATTTTATTCTTAATTTTAGCGCTGCTCGGATACATTCAGATTGTCGCGTTTGCTACCTCGATAGCTTGTAACATGAATCAAGGAATGATGATAGACCTATATTAATCACAGAAGAGTTTGTTCTGAAATTAGAAAGCTGACCTCCGCGGTTTGCGACCCAAACAGACAACAAGGTTATTTGTCTATCAATACCACAAACTATTGCAAATACGAAATCAAGTGGGCGTGTCCGTTACTTTATCTGTTGACGCTTCATGATCTTGCAGATCTACGTAATCTTTTTTGATCTGCAAAATACGTCGCAACAGCAAGTCAGGCAACAGAGCGGCCAAGAAAAGCATGGCGTTATTAATGAAGATTTTTGGATTCACTTCGATCCTGTTTGCTTTGCCCAGGATACCAGCTACCATTGAATACTGTAAGTATCATTGTTCATTACTTTGGTACATTATATCAATAATAACTGCTGAAGTATTGTTAGCAGTTCAGAAACCTTTACCGCCTTGTTCGACAATTGTGTACGCGCATCGTCCCAAAGAAGCTGAAGAGAACACTGTTGGCAGGGGTGAACAGAGCTATCCTGAGCTTGTTTCAATTTATATCGATCAGGTTTATTTAGATAATGTTCATGTTTGCTCAGGGTTGCCATTTCATTGGTCGCTAATTTGTTCGATTAGCGCGAATCCTCATACCGTACTGATAGATGTATAATGCATGTACTCTCTCTTTCAAAAGTAAACCAGTTATCGACCTTAACATGCTGCTAATAGAAAGCTAGGTGGTCTGAACATCAGTAGTTACATTAGTCGCATGGGCTAAAACAAGTTTGCAGCCAATTGCTCCAACTATTCCCTATAAGGTCCCTGCCGTGCTATTTCTCTGAACTCATGTGCGGAATGTTTGGACTAGAGGGCGCTAACAAAAACCCTCCACCGATTAATAAGGGCGACAAATAAGGTATGAAAGTCTTAGTGGTTAGGTAAGACCTTGGATCAAGTCAAAACTTTGAAAACATCGAAGGTTTTATTCGACGGAGTTGCAAAGCTACATCCAAGTCTAACCGATGAAGAAATTGATTATTCAGTTAGAGTGGACTGTAGTTGGGGAGTGAAGAGCTTAATTTACAAGTACTTCAAAAATCTTGGGAGCTACCGACATATGGAATGCTTTCTATTCAAACGTGTGAAATGTGCACCTACACTCTTAATCCAGATTGAGCGTGTTTTGTTATTTTTTGAAGTTAAAAATGTCCTTCTGTGATTAAGCTTGAAAGAAAATGAAGTGGGAACAGACAAATTGCGCATTACAATTGACAGCTGTTTTTATCCGCAGCCAGACCCCCTGAGGACAATCCGTCCGTGCGTGTGTGTGTGTTTAAGTGCTCCTTGTTGATATACCGCAATGGCTTCCACCCGGGGGGGGGG